AAAATTAAAAGAAAAGTAGAAGAAGAAGCAGAAAAACCGGTGGTCGTTTTTTATCTAACGTTCCGCTTTAAAAATTTATTCGTTGTCTCAGTCTGTCTTTAACACTACACTCTGTGTTCAACATTCTGCTATTACTTTAGAAAAAAAGAAGAAAATTTCATAAAAAGGTGCTTAAAAAAAGAAATTAAAACTACTTGTTTAAAGTAAAAAAAAAGGAAGAAATAAAACAAAAACAAGTGCTAAAAGCCATAATTGTTCATTTATTTAAAAAGTACTAAACCGGAAAAAAAACCCAAACTACACAAAAATGACCACCAACATTCCACAAGGCACTTTATTGGATGTGCTGAAGAAGAAAATGCGTCAGACCAAAGAAGAAATGGAAAAATATAAAGACGAATGTGAAGAATATCACAAGCGCTTGCAATTAGAAGTTGTAAGACGAGAGGAAGTAAGTTGGCCAGATTTTATGTGTAAAAACCAGCTCCAAAATAGAAAATATACTTTTAATAGGTAGTTTTTTTTTTTTTGACAAAATCCCAGAACATTTCTTTTTTTTTTTTTCTTGTTAAAAAGAAAAAAAATAGATATTTACATATTAATTACATTTATTAGTTGTATTCTTTTTGTAAAACATTTGGTTGGTAATGAGAGATAAGGATAACTGTATAGTTGCAAGAAATTTGAGTAGAAAAGAACATGACAACATTTTACTCATGAGAGCGAGAGAGAGAGTTTTTTAAGAGTTTTATTTATTAGTGCTCTTTGGAAATTTGTTGTAATTTTAATATTTAAGAGTTTTTAAACATGGTATTCAGCAGGGTTGGAAAATTCAGTATAGATTAGTTGTAGACTAATAAAATAGGCAATAGATTAGTCAATAGTCTAGTCCATAGACTAGTGAATAGATTTTTCGATAGACTATTCAATAGGCTAATCAATAGACTAGTCTATATACTAATCAATAGATTAATCCATAGACTAGATAATTGACTAGTCCATAGTATATTGCCTAGTCTATAGACTAATTTAGTCCATTAGATAAGACTAGTCTATAGAATAGTCCATAGACTAGTTCATAGACTAGTCCATAGACTTGTCAATAGACTAGTTCATAGACATGTCCATAGAGTAGTCAATAGCACATAGATTAGTCACTACACTAGCTCATAGACTAGTCCATATATTAGTCACTATACTAGGCCGTATATTAGTCACTACACTAGCCCATATAATAGTCAATAAACTGGTCAATAGACTAGTACACAGACTCTTCCATAATTCTCCTTATAAGGTCTTCTCAGACAATCATTATACTTTTTCATATCATCGGTTTTAACCGACTATAATAATTTCTTACTTTGTTTTCATTTGCATTTCCTTATTTTCTTTAATATTCTTCTCATATTATAATGTTATTGTTGGGGGTGTTTTCTCTATCTCTCTTGATGTGCGTTTTATACTTGACACTGTGTGTTTAATAATTTTTGTATGACCATCATCACAGTCAGTCGCCACTAAGCCAGCTCATTCAGTAAAAATGGGCAGAAAAAAAAAAGTAAAATTAATTCTTTACCTTTTACGGCCATTTGTTTTATTCTTTATAATCCAAGTCTATTATAAATGGAAAACATTAAAATAAACCATGTTTGTATCGTGTTTAAATATAGAAAAAAAGTTCAATGTTAGGTTTTTATTTTTATTTTTCAATTTTATTATGTTCATCATTCTCCCCCAAACGTAGTTTTTCTACTATGGTTTTATGTAGTTGTTTAATTTTGCTATAATTAGCGTACATTTTTATAACAAAATTTTTCCATTTTCATTGCTATACGACTGTGCCCAGTGAGAAATTTTAAACCGTGTGTGTATGTGTTTTTTTTTCGTCATTTGACAATTAATTGAATTTGTCAATTGGCCCATTAAAAATATGTAATTTTATTGATTTTATTTAATCTATTTTTTGGGGGGAAAATGTAGTCACATGAGTTTTTTGGTGGGATTTTGATTAGAAGAAAAGTTTTAGGCAGTTTTATAGTTTTTATATACAAAATTATTTATTAATAGGAAAAAATATAAGAAAAGAAAACATTTTGATAGAAATTACATAAAAATTAACAAAATTTTATATAAAACAAATAAACATTTAGGCTGCTCACAGATTTTATAAGTTTATTTAAACTTGGTTTCAAATATGACATTTGAAGGCTTGATTGTTTATCACTTTGTAACTTTAAAGGTTTCTTGATATTCTTTCTGTTATACATAGTTGTCGACCAACAGCTTCTTTGTCCATTCAATGTATTGAATCCTTTTATAGATTTAACTTGTCATCTGTAGAGGCAATTAGCTTCCTAAAAGAAAAATTACAGATAATTAAAGATTTTTACAGCCAAAATGGCATTCTCAACATAAAATTTCTGATAAAACTACTTTGACTGATTGAAAACCCGATTCCTAGGTTCAATGATCGCCAAAGGAGATAAAATTATTGCAATTCTTTAGAGAAATATTTCAAATTGAGGTTTTCAACTAAAATTTTTTTAATAAAAGGTTTCAAAAACGTCAAGGAATTAGACAGGGATATAGTAATTTCAGATTTTTGTAGTAAACTTATTAAAATTTGGATTTTAAATAAAATTTGTTTAAGAAAAGCACTTAAAACCTTAAGGAAACCAATTTCCTAAGTTCCCCAAAACATTTTTATAAATAAACTATTGAGTATTTTTAAAAAAGTTTTCATTAAAAGTTCTTAGACCGTTCGAAATCCCAACCCTCATTTTATAAAATTTCTTTCTAAAGGGTCAAGAATCGGTAAAATTTAGACAAATATCGAGGAATTAGTGAACAATGTATTCTGTATTATTATTTGGTTTCATAACTTTATAAACAAGTTTGGAATTCTGTTTCCAATTGTAAACTGTTTTCGTTTTATCCCAGATTTAACTATATTCTCCATTTTGTTACAATTCAAACTTTGGACATGTATTAAAGTTTGTAACATTATTAATAAATTTGAGCTGGATTCGATTATATTGTTTTCAAAGAATTATAGATATTTTTCTTAATAAATATGATTGTTTTTTTTAAACATCTTTTCATTTCTTTGTTTAAAACGATACTTGTTTTTAAAATTAACCGTTTTATTTGTTATATTATTTATGATATTTATGATTTAAACTGTTAGTAGCTAAATAATATTTATTTCTATATTTAAATATTATGCAAATCTAGAGAAAAAAAAAACAGTTCAGCTAAGTTTTGTTTCATAAATTCTACACTCGTATTATCAATGAACAAAAAAATTATAGAATGAATAACAAATAAACCACACTGTTGCTCATCCCCAAAGAAAAAAGGAATGAAAGAAGAAATATTAGTAAAGCAGAAAAAAAGTTAAATAAAATTTAGTCATATTTTTTTATCAACTTGTGGCAAAAACAAAAATTATAACAATTTGAAATACCCTACACCATTAACACAATGGTTAGGTTTAGAAAGCTTGTTTGTTCAACCTAATACTATATATTATTAGGTTGCAATATCAAAGTCAAACTATTGAAATCAATAGAATTAAGATACGATATTGGACTTTAATTTTCATGACAAACCTTTCAAAAAGAAAACTTTTTGTATAGATCGACACCTAATTGAACATAGAATCAATTTTCGAAAAGGAAATCTTCTTAATTCTATAGAGAACGGTTCCTAATTACACCTAGTTCTTGTATAATTATTATGAATAAGGGATTTCTGTGATATTCACTTTATAATTTGTTATAGCTGCTCTCTACAAAAAGTCTGTGTATACTGTACAGTATCAAAAAGTCGGTCTTAACAGATCTTATTCTCTTACTTGCTTTCTTTAATATTTATTTAAATGAACAAAACCGTATATGTTTGCTCATTTTTTTTCTGTTTATTTTGTTTTTGTTGGGGGATTTTGTTGGCTGACTATCTTTGCTGTATGTTTTTTTTTTGTAACACTATATGAGATTGTTGACTAGTTGTGGCTGAATATCCATGTTCCAAAATTTAGCTGATGCCCCATGGCAACGTTTTATACATACAAACTGCTCATATAAATATAATCATTCAAATATTTTTCAACATACAGACACATACTTCACTCCCTTTTTGTCAATGACTTTTTTTATTTTGTTTTCTCGAAATAACAACAACAAAAATACAATTTTATTAAAAAATTTCTATACTTTGAGTATGTTTACAGACACACAAACTATTCTCTCTCTCTCCCTACCCCAAAAGCAAACAGCCAGCAAGCTTGTTATAATGATGACGTAATTTTGCGCTAATATTTTTTTAAATAAAGGCATTTTAATAACATTTTTTCTTAGTTTACAAATACATATGCATGTAATGAAAAAAGAAAATTAAAAAAGGTGAAGAATTTTAAAAGTATACTTTAATTTTTTATAAAAATTTCTCTCTGAATTTGAGATTTATTGAAGGAAATAAGGAACTAAAAGATTTCACTTGTTACAACTAAAGTAATTTTTTAACAAAAATACTTTCAACAGCTGTGAGTTAAAGAAAACGTCACAGTTTGCTCATAAAGGATGATGTCAGTTTCTACTTTAGGGGTTTTTTATACCACAATGTTTGCATAATTTTGTTAAATCCAGGAAAGAAAGAAAAAAGCATAGTTTTCTTTTCTAAAAGTTTCTTTTACAGCTCTACCACACAAAAGGATAAAAACAACCAAAGAAATTCTTAAGAATTTCGAATAAAACTAAACTTTTACACAAAATTTAAAGCAAAAAAAGAGAGCATATTTAAACCCAGTTATAGGTTATACATTTCTTAGAAAATTGGGCTTCCAAAAACCTATTAAAAGTATATTTTATATTAAATCTATTGCGGAGCATATATTTGAGTTTATCCCTTAAGGTTTTAAGGCTAATTTTAAGTTATTTTATAAGAAAAAAAAAAAACAAAAATATTTATTTTCTCTTTTTATAAAACCAAAAAAATTTTAGGCTGAATCTGAAGTTGCTGCTTTGAACCGTCGTATTCAATTGCTCGAAGAAGACTTGGAACGTTCAGAAGAACGTTTGGGTTCCGCCACAGCTAAGCTCTCTGAAGCTTCCCAAGCTGCTGATGAAAGTGAACGGTTAGTATTCCATTTCAATGCGAACTGTATTGAAATATTTTATTTATTTATTACAAATAATTTTTTAGTATTTTTTAAAGTGAAAAAAAAAGAACAAATTAAGTTTAAATTTTAAGTTATCCAAGGTGAAGGTTTATATTTTTTTAAATAATTTTTGGGTTTTTTTAAAAATTTCCAAAACTAAGAGCAATAATTAAAAAAAATATATATATATATAATCAAATAAATTAGGATACGAAAGGCTCTTGAAAATCGTACAAATATGGAAGATGACAGAGTAGCTGTTTTGGAAGCCCAATTGGCACAGGCTAAATTAATTGCCGAAGAAGCCGATAAGAAATATGAAGAGGTATTATTTGCTACAAAAAACAAAACCAATTATATACAAATTTTATTTACTCTATTAGGGTATTAGGGTTTGAATTATTTTGTTTTAAATTGAGGTTAGGTAAAACTGGGTAATGCTCTCTTTTAACTTGTGTAAATGTAAAGGTAACCCCCCAACAACACTTTAAATGCTCCTTAAAGTGTTGTTATATTAGTTTTAATTAAATTTAAGTTTTATTTTATTATAAAAAAACTGGAAAAAGCTTTCTTTTCTTTGTTGTAATTAACAAAAAAGAGAGTTTTATTTATTTTATATATAAGTATTTATATTATTATTAATTTTTAAGTATTAGGCATGCAACAATTTGTAACTTTTTGTTTGTTTTCCTGGAAAATGTTTAAAAGTAGTGTTTTCTTAGAAAATATTATTTCCTGTTTTTCCATCCATATACCCTCTCAGCTATTTGTAGTACAAATTTTAGAGCTGCCAAATAATAATAATAATAATTCCTTTTTTTTTCATTAATAATATTTTTAATATTTAAAGAGATTGTTGCACTCCTAAGATTTTTCTAGTTTATGTCTCGATCGTATTATCACCATATAGTTTAAGTATAAAAATTTATTTATTTATTATCTGAAATATTAGTATGTTTATGTTAAATGTCTGTTAACATGAAAGTGCTGTAGTTGTAGATTTATATGTTTTTCTTTCGAAATAGAAAAAAAGGTACATAAAGCAAAACTTTAATTATAAAGTATTATTTTCAAAATCTTGAAGTTCGAAATTGAAAAAATCCATGTAATTGGTCTCAAATTTAAGCAAAAATCCATTTTTATGATTGCTCGTGATTTAAAGGTCATTTTGAGAACTTTAAATTTTTTTCGAACATAAGTTCGAATTTTCGAACATAACTTAAAAATCATATATTCCGAAACTAAATTGATTATTCTTCAAAATTTCAAGAAAATTTTAAAATTATTTTCAAAATTTACTAGTTCGAAATTCGAAAATGGTAGAATTTGGTTTCAAATTAAACTAAAATTGCATTTTTATGAATCCTAGTGACTTAAAGATCATTCTGACTGTTTTAAATTTTTTTCGAACATAACTTCGAAATTGCGAAAATGTTCTGAGAAGTTCGAGTTTTCAAATATAATTTAAAAATCATATATTCTGAAATTATATTCAAAATTTTTCTGAAATTTTGACAAATTTTCAAGTTATTATCAAAATTTTCGAGTTCGAAATTCGAAAATGTAAGAAATTGCTTTCATATTAAACGGAAATTAAGTTTTAATGAATCCTTATGATTTAAAACTAATTTTAGCAGCTGTAAAAAAATTTTTGAACTTAAGTTCGAATTTTCGAAAATGTCCTAAAAAGTTGGAATTTTCGAATATAACTTAAAAATCATATATTCTGAAACTATATTAAAAATTTTTCAGAAATTTAGAAAAATTTTCAAATTATTTTCAAAATTTTCGAGTTCGAAATTCGAAAATCTAAGAAATTTATTTTCAAATTATAACTAAAATTAAGGTTTTATGAATCCCTATGATTTAAAACTAATTTTAGCAGCTTTAAAAATTTTTCGAACATAACTTCGAAATTTCGAAAATGTAAAAAGTTGGAATTTTCGAATATAACTTAAAAATGGTATATTCTGAAACAATATATTAAAAATTTTTCCGAAATCTAGGAAAATTTTCAAATTATTTTCAAAATTTTCGAGTTCGAAATTCGAAAATAGAAGAATTTGGCTTTAAATTAAACTAAAATTCCACTTTTATGAATCCTAGTGGCTTAAGGATGATTTCGAAAGCTTTAGTTTTTATTCGAACATAACATTGAAATTTCGAATTTTCGAACTTTCAAAATTAAAATTTTTAAATTATTATTCGAACATAATATGGAATTTTCGAAAAATGTTTAAAAATCCTCATAATCTATACCGACTGTTTAGATCCTTTGAATTACATTCCTAGAATCCCCGAGAAATCCATTACATTCTAAAACTATGGCTTTTGTTTCCAACATGAAGGGTCTGTTAAAGATGATGTTAAAGAATTCTAATAAAAATTTACCTTTTCCATTAAAAATCGAAAAGAAAAACATATAAATCTTTAGAGAAAATGGCTTAAAAATTTAGTTTAAAAATTTGCAAAATTTTCTTGTTTTCCACCGTCAACATTTATTTTGGATGCTATAAAAATAAAACTACTATTCTACTACTACTACCGACTGCTACATATACAACCATGTGAATGGCAAATTATCACCATCAAACTATATAAAAAAACCAAATCACAAACGCCGCCAACCACTACTGTGCACCGCAACCAAACAACCAACCAATCAAAACACCAACAAATTTCTTGTCTATGTTTTCTATATAATATATATGTGTGTGTGTATGTGTCTCCATTGTCTGTGTCGCCTCCATATATATATCCTACGTCAAATGTCTTTTCATCAAATCCGACTTGTGGACGATGAATGACACAACATCTGGAAAAAATGGTTTATCAAATTGCAATATACTCCGCTATTAATCTTGGATGTCTTCTATGGGCAATTCTAAACGATGTGATTTTATAAATAAATATGTGAAAACTCAACAGTGCTCGCAAGATCCTTGAGAACCGCGCCCTTGCCGATGAAGAACGCATGGACGCTCTTGAGAATCAATTGAAGGAAGCTCGTTTCCTTGCTGAGGAGGCTGACAAGAAATACGATGAGGTGCAAATTATAACCAATTTAAAACATTTACTTATTGCCGATGCTAGTTGTTCATCATCTACCAACAATAATAATAACAATAACAATGATAATACTGATGCAAATCAAAGTGCTACCACTACTACTACTACTAATAATAATAATAATGAAGATGATTCAGTTTGTACTAATACCAAAACTAATAAGGATTCAGATATTATTGTACCACCACCAACTCCTGAAACTTTGCAACAAACTTGATTCTTTTGTATTTTCATTTATACATAATTGTAGATTTTGCTCTGCATTCTAAAACAAAAAAGAAAAAACAGTTTTGTTTTTTGTAAACGAAAAAAATATCAGAAAAAAACGATCATCACTGTTAATTTAAAAATTAAATTCATACTCGTTTATTATACATACTCTCTTAGCTAATAGAGTTTGTTGGTTAAAATAACAACAACACCAAGCACGAGCATGTCTTTATATTGTAAAGCTTTGTAAAGTAAACTTTAGAACAAAATAAACTTTAGAAAATTCTAAAAACAAATATAAAATCCTTTAAGGATTTGCAAGTTTGTTAACATAATGCAAGGAGTTGGTTTCTTATGACTTAAGAAGAAACAATATGTACTATTAACTAACTATCCCCCGAAAAACATAAAAAGGTGTTTACCTATTGAAAACTTGTGCTGCTTAAAAAAATATGAAATTTTCTTTGTAAAAACAAAATTATTTTAATTTGTTATCTATAATGTATCTTAAAAAATAACACAAATACTTATCAGTTGTATATAATTATAATTGATTAAAATATTGATAAAAAAACAATTCTAAAATTCTAAAAAAACCTAAATATTATAAAGAATGGCAAAGCCTTAAAATAATTTAAGAGAATTTTAAATTATTTAAAGAGTTTCTTAAAACAAATTTATAAAAAAATATACTAAAGCGTAAAAATTGAAAAAAAGAAAAAAATTGTAAAAAAGTTTAAAAAACTTTTCTATAAAACAAAAAAAAAATCTGCAAAATAACTAACAAATTTTAATTTTTTTTGTGTTAATTTATCTTTATAAACAAAATTCTATGTTATTTTAAATTGTCTCTTGTTAAATTGTATTCTATTTCTATTATTTTTTTGGTAAAGTGTATTTTTTATTATTATTTTTTTCAAATTTAATTATTATTATTATTGTCTATAAAAACATATTTATTCTGAGCATATTTATATAAAAAATCCCTTTTTTTTTTGCTTTAATTATTATAATTTAAATTTATTTTTTTCTATAAACTAAAATAAGTTTAATTATAAAGAAAATTATTTAAATAAAGATTTAAAAACAATGATCTTCATATAATGAAAAAGCAAAAAATACTTATTGAATTTTGTATTATTTCTTAAAACAAATGGAGCATTGCACAACAAAAAGAGAGAGAGTAAAGAGTAAGAGAGTTTGAATGCGTTTTTTTAAATAGAGAAGAGTATAAAAAATGTTCTTGAAAGTTTGGTTTATTAATAGTGAACTTTTTAATACTGATAATTTATTTATTTGCTATTTTATTACTTTATCAATCTACTATTTTTTTTTATCAATCAAATATTTGTTTAATAAAATTTTACGCTAAATAATGACTTAGGTTTTTAAATATGTGAACGAACGTAAGAAAATTGTCTAGTTTAACTATTATAAAAGTTTGACGATCACGACACTACATGCCAGGCATGGAAAATTTAAATATTGAAATTGTACTATAGTCAAAAATTTTACTTTTTTAGGGTAAAGTACTAAACTAATTTTCCACTAGATTATAGACTAGACTAAAAACTAGACTAGACTACAGACAATAGATTAGTCTATAGACTAGACTATAGAATAGATTAGTCTATAGACTAGACTATAGAATAGACTAGACTATGGACTAGACTATGGACTAGACTATAGACTAGATTATAGACTAGACTATAGAATAGACTATAGAATAGACTATAGAATAGACTATAGAATAGACTATAGAATAGACTATAGACTAGACTATAGACTGTACTATAGAATAGACTATAAACTAGACTATAGACTAGACTATAAACTAGACTATAGACTAGACTATAAACTAGACTATAGACTAGACTATAGACTAGACTATGGACTAGACTATAGACTAGACTAGACTATAGACTAGACTATAGACTAGACTATAGACTAGACTATAGACTAGACTATAGACTAGACTATAGACTAGACTATAGACTAGACTATAGACTAGACTAGACTAGACTAGACTATAGACTAGACTATAGA